TTTTGTGTGACCTGAAATTACTGTTCACACATTTTGTGGTACTGTCATTTTACATGTTAGGCCTTCTTTCCTACTAAAAGCTGAAAAATATTTTATATACTATTTTTAAGAATAGATTCTTTGTTCTGAACATTTGATCCATTTCTGCCCATAGACTCCAAAGTGGTTAACGTTTAGTATGTGTAAGGGATGTGCTTTGGAATCAAAATCTCAGAGAAGTGATTTTCCATCCCTAACTTGCAAATGCTCCATAATACTGTCACACTTTCTTTTTACACTTTTTCATTAGTATTTTTTAAAATGAAAACTAATGGTACCAATTTTAGGGAGTTCCTTTCGTCTTTTGCAATTAACTGGGTGAATTGGGGGAACTGAGAACGTGGGCTGTGTTGGGGCCACATGACACTCCCATTCCCATTGTTTTAGGGCCTTGAGTGATGGTGAAAAATTCTTCCTCAAAAAGGGTGGGGCAGTGCTCAGTCTCCTGGTAACAGTTCCCAGAGGGACTGGGATTTAGTGGAGCAATGGATGAAAACCAAAGGGCTAGTGGTCATCTTGTCCTCCACCCCCCACCCTCCACACCCCTGGTGGTTGGAAGATACTCATCTTTGACACAGCAGGGGCAGAGCTATGGCTTTATGGCCACTGAGTGTAGAGTGGAATTGGGGTAAACTGAGGACTCATCCACTTCTGCCAGACCAAGGACATTTGTCCTAGGAGATGAGGTGATTGGGATTGGCCTGAGAAGAATGCATTTTGTGTGGATTTGTCTTCTGGATTTTTTCCTTACAGATTTTTTAAAATTTTCAGAATATTAAGGGGGTACAGATGTTTTTGTTACATGAATCGCTTCTGTAGTGCTTGAGTCACGGGTACAAGTGTGCCCATCATCCTAATCATGTTCATTGTACCCATTCCTTGCAGATTTTCATCAGGATGAGCGTCCAGGACCCACCCAGACTCCTGCAACTGGCGGGGCAGAGCCTGCTGAGGGACGAGGCCGTGGCCATCCCTGCTCTGGAGGAGCTGCCAACGGAGCTCTTCCCACCACTGTTTATGGAGGCCTTCACCAAGAGACGCAGCAAAACCCTGACGGCCATGGTGCAGGCCTGGCCTTTCACCCGCCTGCCTCTGGGGTCCCTGATGCTGACCCCTGACCTGGAGACCCTAAGAGTTGTGCTGGACGGGCTTGACGTGCTGCTTGCCCAAAAGGTTCGCCCCAGGTGAGACTGACCCAGGGAGCCTGGTAGGGAGGGCCCAGGAGTCTGGGGACAGACATCTGGGTCAGGGAGAGTGGGGGGGCCCAAGGGTGGAGCAGAGGCTTGTGAAGGTCTAGGGAGGAAGTTCAGAGACCTGACCACTGCTGAGCCCACTCTGGAAAACTGCTCCCGGAAGTGTAAGACTGCTCACCGTGCTAAAAGAATGTGAACCTGTCTCCTCGCAGTGGCATGTAAAGATACTAGAAGTGAGGACAGGCAGGATCCAAGGGCGATAGGGGATGCGGAAGGCCAGGTGAGGAGAAGAAAGAGTGGGAGCAGCCGATGTCGGTGTGTGGAATGAAAGGTCAGGTCAGAGGTGGGTCCTTCCCTAAATTCTGAGACTCCCCTGTTTCACCCACAGGAGGTGGAAACTGCAAGTGCTGGATTTGCGGAATGTGGATGAGAACTTCTGGACCGTGTGGTCTGGAGACTCTGCGTGGTCTTCAACAGCCGTGAATGAGAGGAAAACAGCAAGGGATTGTCCAAGGATGGGAAGGCAGCAGCCCATAGAGGTGTTCAGAGACTTTTACCTAACAGGAAAAAAACCGGATGAGTTCCTCACCTACCTCATTCTGTGGGTCAAGAAGAGAAAAGATTTCATACACCTGTGTTGTAAGAAGCTGGTGATAGTTTCATTGCCTGTCTGCAATATTACCATCAGGAAGGTCCTGGAAATGGTGGACCTGGACTGTATCCAGGAGGTGGAAATGAATAGCCCCTGGGAGCTGTCCACCCTGGCGAGGTTTGCTCCTTACTTGGGCCAGATGAGACACCTTGGCAAACTAGTTCTCTTCAACATCTATGTGTCTGCCTACGTGTCCCCAGAGGAGAAGGAGCAGATTCTCGCCCAATTCACCTCTCAGTTTCTCAAACTGGACAACCTCCGGAAGCTTTATACGTACACTGGCTCTTGTCTTGAAGGCCGTCTTCACCAGGTGTTCAGGTGAGGAAGGATGGTGGGCTTTCTCTGCAGACCAGACCGAAGTGAAGGAGCCTCTGGAATGGCAGCCCATTGTCGCGTTCCCTGCTCATGCCTGATGCGGGTATCACATCACCACCCGAAAGAAGGCAGAGGGATGAACGGGGGTCGATGATGTAGAGAGGGACACCATGCCAGGGAGCTAAGTGTTGGGGGATTCAGAGCCTGGAAGGGTGCCTTTGAATTCTCCCTGAGGAAGCGTTTAGAAAGTAAGATGGCGGGAAATAGGCAAGTGAGGAGGGCACTGAGGAAGGTAGAGCACATCACGTCCAACCTGGGCGTTTCAAACTATAAGCGCTGTCCTCATCAGCTTTGTGAATGTAATTGAGCCCGTCTCTAACTCCATCTGTTGTAGAAGGTTGTTGTAGCTCCCGGTAAGGTAGTTAATATGGAAAATGTCTGCTGCTGGAATGGCGGTGAGGGAGCAGGGGTGAAGAACTGTAAAAAGAGATAGATGGTTGCTGATCACGCCATCATGCCAGGATCCTGCAGGTGGCAACCCCAGCTGACGTTGCTGGGTCTTGCCCAGGTGTGTCCTTTATGTGTGTCTCCCACTGGGCTTGCCTGGTTTTTCTGCTTCACAGATAAGCCGATGGAGCTCTGGAGATTGAGGACTGGACCCAGTAACATAATTGATGGTGAAAGGACTCAGCCTCAAATGGGAGTGACCTGAACGATTAGACTTTTCAACAGGCAGCATCCTGGGTGTTGACATCCTTAGGTGATCAGAACAAGCTTGGGTTTGGGTGAAAAGTTCACCTCTCATGTTGATGTTATTCCTCACCACCTACCTCTTACTAGTACCATTCCCCAAAACTAACTGCTTGTTATATCCCCAGGTGCCTCAAGACCCCCCTGGAGACCTTCTTAATAACTGACTGCGTGCTGTCAGCATCAGACTGGGAGAACCTGTTCTGCTGGCCGAGCTTCAGTCAGCTAAAGGAGCTGCATCTGAGAGGCATCGCACTGACCCATTTCAGTCCTGAGCGCCTCCAACTGATGCTAGAGAAAGTTGCAGGCACGGTCCAGTCCCTGCTCCTAGAGGACTGTGGGATCGTGGACTCCCAACTCAATGTCATCGTGCCTACCCTGAGCCGCTGCTGCCAGCTCACGACCGTTAGTATCGGCGGGAATCCCATCTCCATGGCTGCCCTGGAGAACCTGCTACGTCACACCACAAGGCTGAGCAAGTTAAGCCTGGAGATCTATCCTGCCCCTCAGGAGAGTTATGACGCCCAGGGTGCTCTCAACTTTGGGAAATTTGTCCAGTTTCGGGCTGAGCTGATGGAGATACTGAGGGACTTAAGGCAGCCCAAGACGATCATGTTCAGTACAGTCTCCAGGCCTTACTATGGTGACAGTGAATATGATCCTATTATGGTCTAGAGCCCCGTCGATGCTGCTGTGGAACCTCTGCCTTGTTGAGTGGATATATCAAACACTTTCTTCTGTGCACTGGAAACTGAAACCTAGGACGTAGGTGCATTGTGTAGGGAGCATGAACCCATCAAGTGTGATACGTGTTTGAGAAATGAGTTAACTCTGCATGGATAGCTGTAAAGAATCATCAGAAATAAATGGGAAAATCAGTGTGAACTGTCTGGTGTCCTCCACGATTGGTTTACCTGTTTTAACAGTTTAAACATCAGGAATGTCCAGATAATTGCGAACTAAAATAAAAATCTTTAGTCCCCTCGGCTGACTGAATGGATTCCCTCTGGGCTAAGGAGACCCCTCAAATGCCCTAAAGCTGACTTGCTGGCCATGAGAAGCATCGTCATGCCCCCTCCCTGTGTAACTCATTAGCAGGCCTAAGCCTGTACAAGACAAAGCTTAAATCACAGCCTCAGGCCATCAATTTACTTAGCAGATCACTGGAGTCCGGACATAGGTCCTGTGTATGTCCAGTGGCTTGTTTCTGATTAACAGACTTACTTATCTTAACTGAAAACATTCCAAACCTTTAGACAAAACTTCATTTCTTTAATCAATTACAAATCAAAGAATCTTTAAACCCACCTATAACCTGTCCATGCCCCACTTCAAGATGTTCTGCCTTTCCAGGTCAAACCAATGTACACCTTCCATGTATGGATTTATGATGTTAGGTGTAATTCCTGTCTCCTTGAAATGTATAAAACCAAATTGTAACCCAACCATGGTGAGACTACTTGCTCAAAGTTTCTTGGGTGTGGCTCTCTGGAGCATGGTCACACATATTTGGCTCACAATAAACCTCTTTAAATTATCTTACAAAATTAGAGTTCTTTTCCACTGACATAATGATAAGGGAAAAAAAGGAACAGAGCTGTCTGTGATAAGTGAGGTTCTGCCCCTGTAAATCAAGGCATCAAAATGAACTTTGATCATTCTGATCAATTTCCTCTGTTTTTTAGGCATATATTACCTCCTAACTAAAGTTTGCACAGAGATGTTGTTCTAAAACAGGAACCCACATGGAATCCCACAGTAATCTGAGCCTAGACATCTTCCAGCTGGGTGCCATTCCGATAGCCTAGGTAGTGGGGATCGACAGACATGGCTGCTACTACAGCACTGCTCTGAGGAGGGAGGGGGAGACTGAGGGTTCCCATGCAACCCTGGGGAGGTCCCCACTACTCTGCTGTGAGCTCCTGTTGTGACTGTGATGTGAGTGAACCATGCTGTCCACAGGCCCTTGCCTACACTGCCTGCCAAGAAGGGGCTCCACCCTCTCTGGTCACAGAGCAAAGATGCCATTTTGCAAGCATAAAGCTAGGCTGCACCCCACTCTCAGACTGAGTTCATGTCACCATAGTAGCAGCCACCACCTGGCTGAGGAGGGGAAAGGGAACCACACTCTCCTAAGCATACATAAGACAGTATTTACTGCTCTGCCACTGGTAGCTGCAAGACCGAAGCATGAGTGGACCACATTTCCTACTATAGCTTCTTGCCCATGCTGCTTACCTTAGTGAGGGCCTGCCCCTCTGGTCACAGGCCCATACCTGGTGCCATTTTAAGAGTTTAATGCTGTGCTTCTCTCTGTCCTTGGGCCAAGTTTGAGGTGAAGTGGCTGCAGCCTCCACACGGCCAAGGAGGGACAGGGAAGAACAAGGTATCCTGAGCACACCTAAGACCATGTCCACCACCCTGCCACAGGTGGCATGGGATGGAAGACTAGTCCACCCATACCCACTGCAGCTACCAGCCATACCAGCATGGACACTTTTGGTCCAAGTAAACTGCTCCACCACCACTACCACCTTCACTCACATAACACCAGCTGTCCAGGGGCCTGAGAACCCACCCACACATCTGGCCCACTCCTCCCACTACTAACTTCTGAGTAAGCATGTGGAGGCCCAAGAATTGGCCCTTCAGGACCCCCTCACACAGGTGCCAGTGTAAGCTGCTCTGGGCCTAAAATCAGGCACACTTAGCACACTGCTGCCACCACTAGGGCCTGGAAGACTGGCTCAGTTGGCATCCAAGTCCCCAGCAAAATGTTACCACAGCCTCAACTAATAACCATACCTTAGCCACTGTGGAAATCACACATGCCACTGACCCTGTGTACTGCTAAAAAAATCACATAAAGGTCACGCTACCCCAGGCACTTAAAATCAAAATCAAAGTGTCCTATTCAACCAACAACATACGTACAGCTTCAGGAAAAAATACTCCCCTATGAAAGCAATTTCACAAACTGGAAGAAGGGACTGCTACACCAGACATGCAGATATCAATGGAAAGACA